TAGCATGACAAGTTGTCTGAAAATTAGGGCCTCTGTTAACTGCCTCTCTCACACGTGGTTAACGGGGACCCCCAGTTTCAGCTCCTGACTAACAGGTCCAAAATTGAAATGAGGGTTTGGGGGTCAATTTTTATGTTTTTTTTTCCTTTTTTTTTTTGCCTGTTTTTGTTTAGGTTCAAGGTTGTTGTGTACCAAGTTTGGTCTCATTTGGAGCATTGGAATTTCCTCGACTAAGATTTCTGAAATTTCTCAAGATTTTTCAAGCTGGATGTTGGCGAAATTTGCATGAAAGTGCACTTTTGCCTTGCTGTTTTATAAGTTTTTAATTTTTTTTTTCGGTTTTTTTTTTTGCAGTTAGTGAGTATGGTCTCTACTCTATGACTTGGTGGAAAGTTTGGTTAAAATGACACTTGGATTTTGTTATAAATAGCATGACAAGTTTTTGTCTGAAAATTAGGGCCTCCGTTAACCGCCTCTCGCTGATTGCTGAGTTTGGTCTATCTGACAATCTGATTCGATATATGGTGGACGCCTACAAAGAAGACCTCGTGATAATGGACATCATCTGCAAGCTCGAGGCCAAAGACAAGGCTACACCAGAGGAGTTTGTGGTGGTGGATGGGCTCTTTCTTGAGAAGGCAGGGAGTAAACTATTGTGTGTGCTGTCTAGAGAGTCTTTGCGTAGTTTATTTCTGGGAGAGTTCATGATGCCACCGGACACTTTGGTTATAAGGAGACAAGCGTGTACCTAGTACAATGATTTTGGTTGCCCGCTATCATGTAGGTTGCAAAGCGCTATGTGGAGACTTGTCAAGTTTTCCAACGTGACAAGCCGAGGATGCAAGGGCCGCTTGGGTTGGTAAAGTCGGTGCCTATTTCCGCTGGCCCCGAACAGAGTGTGTCCATGGACTCCATGGATACCCTCGTGACCAGCAAGAGTGGCAAGAGACATATCTGTGTTATAGTGGACCGTTTGATGAAGTATGCTAGGTTAGTCGCCGAGAGAAGGTTAACCGACCCCCCAAAAGTGAGGGTACCTGTTAACCATTTCTGGATGCTGGAACCGCAAAGACTGAGCACGTCACTAAGTTATTTATGGATAATTGGGTGCATTATTTTGGACTACCCAAGTCTACTGTGAGTGTTAGAGATGTCCGTTTCACTAGTGGAATGTGGAAGAAAGCAGCTGAACAGATGGGCAGCCCACTCCAAATAACTCTAGGGAATCATCCGGAAGCCAACGGCCAAACTGAGTAGATGAACCACGAGGTGCGGTGCTTGCTCCGACAGTACATCAAGCCGAGCCAAGAGGACTGGTATGAGAAACTTCCTCTCATCGCCAACTTGTACAACAACATGATTCATAGCACCACTGGCGTGTCTCTGAATGAGCTGCACGTGGGTTGGAAGCCTAGATCAGCTCTAGACTGTCTTCCACCTGACAACGGACCAGCCACAATGCTTGCACCCTTGAGTTTGGTGGCCAGTACGAAAAGCTGTTGCAGCAGGCTGTCGAGCACATACGGAAAGCTGAGGATGCTATGATAGCATATGAGAACTGACACAAAAGACGGTCCACATTGCAGGTAGGAGAACGAGTTTGGGTTAAGTCTAGTGAGGACAGGTATTCTAGGAAACTAATGCCTTTATACTTCGGTCCGTGGGAAGTCCTAGATATTGTCTCGAATGATCCGGATGGTCCTCCTACATCATCAGAATCCCAGGTCAGAACCACACTTACCCTGTATTTCTTCTTCTTTTTTTTTTTTTTTTTTTTGTAATAAAGCCCGAGGTGTTCACTGGCAACGGCAGCTAATGGTTGTTCTGACAGGATAGGCCACCTTCCCTACCCTCCCCACGTTAGTTCTTCCAGTGCACCCTTCATCCCTATTATCTTACTTCAGTGTGACCAGCACTCAGGAGCATCACCCTACCAATATTGACGGCAACTTGGATTAGACAGCAGTGACAAGCACCAAGGCTGGGCAGACTCCCAGCCGTAGTTGAAGTGGAAGCAAACGAACCTTGCCATATGGGAACTTTGGACGCCAGGCTCATGCAATCTTTTTTTTTCTACAGGCCCAATATCAGAAAGTCTACCCGGCAGGAGTACCTAGGCAAGGCAAGCTGACAAGCTGTCGCCCACGAACACATCCTACCGTCCTTGCCCGAACGTACCCAAGGCCACGGAGAACTCAGACTAGCCGGAGCGACTTATATCCCTACCCTACTCTAGAGTCTAAGCCATGCATGAGCAGACCCCATCACGTACCTGATAGACCCCCCACCGTGGTATTATAGTTGTATGTGTGTGTGCCCGGAAGCTATGTACGTATGAGCCGGTAGACTATGTGTATGTTCACAAGGCATGTTTTTGTGTATGCCCGAAGGCTGTGTGTTGCGCACCGTAACGGTACAAACCAGAACAAGAACAAACCTCTCTCACATAGTACAGGATAGCGCAACGGAAAGCTAAAATACCAATGATCAGACCAATCAATGTCGCAATGCATACCAAACATGCATCATCCCAAAGTCACCAATCTCTCTCTCTCTCTCTCTCTCTCTCTCTCTCTCTCTCTCTCTCTCTCTCTCTCTCTCTCTCTCTCGTAGTTTGCAGATACTGAGAAGTCAGGTGGCGAGAGGGTGAGGGAGAGATGGTGGACTTAGAGGAGGAAGAAAAATAACTTTCTCTTTCTCCCTCTTGTACGAAGTACTAACCTGTGGAGGTGGCACCTTGTTGCAGGTACATCGAAGACGAAGCTGGAGCTATGGCGCCATAGGTAAGTCTCCCTGGCCTCCGCCCTTCTCTCTCTCTCCCAACGCTACTCTACCTCCTAGCAGTGCCCAGCGCTGAAGACTACTCTAGCGCTAGCTACAACTACTATTGCAGCGCTCCTCCAGAGTGCTGCGGCCAACTCATGAAGACTGCCTCCTGCCTCCTGCACGTGAAGTGCCCGTGAACTGCCTAGGAAGCTCCCATGAACTACCTGCAGCCTGCAGGGCGGGCCAGTACTATATAATGGTGGCCCGTCCGGGAGGCTACTCTTGCCAATGCCGAAACGTGCCAAGACCCTGACATTGAAGTTCAAACAAAGGTTGTATTCGAACAGGCCCAAAAATGGCCTGTGCTAAACCCTGGTCTAGCGCCTGAGTTTCAGGGCAGGTCGACTTTATGAGGGCCTGAAAATGGCCCTCGTTTTCAGGCTTTTTGGCTGAAACAACACAGGGCCTGAAGGGCCATTATTTTCCGTCTGGTCGGGCCCTGCAGGCCCGTGTGGATGCGCAGTATGCCACCCCCCCCCCCTCCTTGAAAGACCGAGCTTACCAGCAAGGGCGAAGCTGTCTGTAGGAGGGAGGGACCAAAGTCCGGGTGGGAGGGGCAGATCGTGAAGCTTAGCTAACCTTTGTCGTTCGTAGTGAGCGTAGATCAGTGGTGCGGATGCTTGCAAATCTGCTTATGAAATCCATCGAGTGTCGTCAAGATCACATGCTTTGAAGGTAACTTTGTACTGTTGAGGCTTGTTGTCATACTTGCGATCCGTGATGACGCGGTCGACTTCCTGATGACCATCCATAGACGAAGGGTCTTGTGATTGTCGGCCCGGGAAGTTGTCACTCTTAGCTGGTGTGATGTCGCCAGCTTCGAGGCATGAAAGACTGGATGGACCGGCAGATGCGGAGGGATGTCGATCACAAAGGACGGGCCGTCGGGCTCGTCGCCTACGACTGAAAAGACGGTCCATGGTCCAAACCACTTGGGGAGTAGTTTGTGCGAAACATCCTATTCGAGCGCAAACTCTTCCTCGGAGACCCAAGCCAGATCACCACCGCGGGTGGGACATGGCACGCGACGCCTGTTGGCTTGCTGCTGCATGCGGACTTGAGCCTTTTGCATGTTCGCACGGGCTTGAGCCAGCAATTCCTTGCACTTCCGGATGGAGGCGGGAGAGCAAGCGACATCTATGCCGGCAGTTCATGGAAGGAGAAGATCAGCGAAGATACGGCCTTTCCGGCCACCGTGGTGCAACTAAATGGAGTCACGCCGATCGTCGGGTGCAACGAAGTGTTGTAGGCGAACTCGATGTCGGGGAGGAGGTCAACCCAATCCTTATGATCCGGACGGATGAGCATACGAAGCATCATCTAAGCAGTCTGATGTGCTCTCTCCGTTTGCCCGTTCGTTTGTGGATGCCGAGCTGGAGTTGGTTTCATCTTGGTGTCGGATTCCTGCACGAGAGAAGTCCAGAATGCCGACATGAAACGACTAACGATGTTTTTCGGTACGTCGTGGCTGCAAATCCAGCCGGTGTGCAAAAGGCGCGCAAGTTTGGGAGCCGTGGTGTAGTACTTGCAAGGGAGAAATCGCGAGTACTTACTCAATCACTCAACGACTGTGAGGATGCTGGCATGCCTGAAGCGATCGTGGGGAAACGGGCTGGTGACGTCCATGGCGATGGAGAGGCCTAGTTCCCATGGAATAGCAACGGGCGCAACCCGTCGTAGGGATTGCGGTTGCGGGGCTTGCTTCCTTGACAAACTTCGCAAGAGTCGCAATACCGAGTGACATCGGTAATGAGGTCGGGCCACCAGAATCATTGCCGAAGTCGTGCGATAGTGCGGGTCGTGGTCGCCGAGAAGGCGAGTCCGAAGGCGACGGTCTCGTGGGACGCAGAGCAAGTCCTTGCCTCGCGAGTGGAGAAGCAAGTATCCGTCGACGATGTGATAATTGTTGGCCGGCGGGTGATCCGAAGATAGTTGTGCCTATAGCGTGGTGAAATCCGGATCAGACTCATAGGCCCGAATGAAGTGTCGTTGGAGTCCCTTGTCGAATGCGAAGGCATGATGTGTCATAGCGCAAAGATCGGGTCTTCGCGAGAGTGCATCTGCTGCACGATTGGAGAGGCCGACAAGATGTTTCGGTGTGAAGTCAAATCGGTCGATGAAGTGCATCCATCGTCCGATAGTGCTGCTCACCGTATCCTGCGTCTTGTAGTAGGTCAATGGGTTGTGATAAGTGACCCATGTGAACCTACGACGTCCAAGGAGGAAGTGCCGCCATCACTTGAGAGCCATCACGAATGCGAGAAGCTCCTTCTTCCTTGCATCATCAAGTGAATTGATGGGATGCACTTTGTGGCTGAAATACTCCACGGGGTGCCAGTCGCCGCCGTCATGTTGTTCCAAGATTGCCCCAATGCCATAGCCTGAAGCGGCAGTTGTCACTCTCGTTGGCAAGGTGGGGTCGTAGATGCTAAGGACAGGTGCCATGAGCATGGTCGTCTTGAGTGCTTGGAATGACCACCGCGCGTCGTCATTGCTCACGAATGGCACCTTTGGCGATTGTAATCTCATCAATGGTGCGACAATCCTTGAGTACCCGGTGATGAAGCATTGATAGTAGCCTGCCAACCCCATGAATGAGCGAATGTCCATGGTGTTGGTGGGCTCAGGCCATACGCAGATGGCCTTGATCTTGTATGCAAGCGGACGGATGCCTTGCGACGTCACATAATGGCCCAAGACTCGAGCTCTTGCCGCGCGAATTCGCATTTGTCGCGGTTGGCTTTGTACTTGGCTTGTTGTAGTCGGTCCAAAACAGTGCGCATGCGCTCCACGTGCTCGTCCAAACTTCGGCTGTACACCAAGATATTGTCAAGGTAGATGAGTACAAATCCGTCCAGCATGTGTCTGAACTCTGTCGTCATAGCCGCTTGGAACATGGTCGGGGCATTTGTAAGGCCAAATGGCATAACCAGCCATTCGAAATGCCCATATCGCATCTTGAACGCGGTCTTGTAGCGGTCTTCCTGCCGGATCTCAATTTGGTGATATCCTGATTTGAGGTCAAGCTTGGAGAAGAACTTAGTGTCGCCCAGTCGTTCGAGAAGGTCGTTGATGCGCGGGAGAGGGCCGACGTTCTTGACGGTTTGCACGTTGAGCTTGCAATAATCGATGCACAACCGCAAGTCCTTGTTCTTCTTCCGGACGAAGAGAACGGGAGCGCCGTATGGCGAAGAGCTAGGCCGAATCCAGCCTTTCTCAAGAAGGTCGTCGAGTTGTGCCCATAGCACACTTAACTCTTCCTCGCTCATGCGGTAGATGCAACCACGTGGAGGTATCCTCGCTTCTCAGCCATGACATGCCCAAAATCATGTTGAACTAGGTGTTCAAAATGTCAAAGGACACGGCCTCGCTTGCATGCGGGGCGAAGTACACGGGGACGGAATCAATGCACCGGTCGACTTACTTGTGTGTGTGACCGTCGCCCAACGTGACTTGCGTGGGCTGCGACTTCCTCCGAACGCGTGGCCCAAGGCCAGCGCGTACCATAAAGTCTTGGCTGATATAGTTGCGAGTTGCTCCGCAACTGATCAAAGCGCTGCAGGTCGCCTCTCCGATCTGAATGTGTATGTATAGCAATGGCGCGTCGATGTTGTCGTGCCGTTGTTTTGAACTCGCGGTCGATCTTCGCAACGTAGTCGTGAAGGTCAACAACCTCTACTTCGGCGTCCATTAACGGAGCTGGTACTACAGTGTGCAAGTAATCCCGCAATTGTGCCATGAGCACGTTGCAATGCGGTTTCGGCAATCGACCGGTCGGGGGAAGGGGCATCCATTGGAAGTCCGCAAACGTCAACGGGTTGAGTTCTTCAAGTCTCGACCATGGCGTTGAATCCCCGACGATAGTTGGCGGCGAAGCTGCCGAATCGGTTGCCGATGGTGGTGAAACTGTACATGCGGTGGATTGTTGCACGTGGAGTGGCTGGTCCATCGGTGGGACCAAGTGGACAGCGTAATCCTCGTAAGTGAACCGAGGACTTGCGACATCCACATTCTCCCCAGATGTGTAGGAGGCCATTAGCAAGGCGGCTGAATCTGGCGGAGTGAGAGGTGGAGTCGCCTCACCTCCCGCGCAGCTCAGTTTCCCGAGCTGATTTGAGGTCGAAAATCCTCCTTGCCTTGATCCTGGCAGTGGGAGGTCTTGTGCTTGGTGTTGTCGCACCAATAGCAGCAACCGTATCGGTTGCGGTACTTGTATTCGGCCTCGGTCAAGTGCAGAACTTGACCCATGGTACTAGCTATCCAATTCCGGTCGGCGATGTGGTTTTTGCCTTCCCTTTTCCTCGGGAGTTGTTGTTGCTTCGCGGCTGGACAGCGGGCACCTGATCTCCCTCACGTGATGCTGGGGTGGCTGCCGGGTCTTCTGCAATGTTGTCCGGTTGGACTGCGGCGACTTGCTGCGGATGCGGACCAAATTTTCCTTTCTCCACATGGGCTGGCTGCCACGCTGACTTCTCGTGTGCAGCAGTCCGGTTGGTCTTGATGATCTCTCGCGCCTTGTCGATGATTTCGGCGAAGGTTGTGTATTGCTCGCGATCACCGAGTGCGAGGTTCAAGGTGGCACACGACCGGTTGTAGAACTCCCGGCCCAGATGTGGAAATGGCAAGTCAAGATTGGGTGTTGCCACGATCTTTTGCCACTCCGTGAGCCAGTCACATGTTGGTGTGTTGCCTTGAGCCATGCTGAAGAGGCGGTTGATGGCGAGCGTCGCGGCGTCGTCAATGATGAATCGCTTCTTCCATTGTCTCTTCAGATCTTCCCAAGAGATCTTCTTGTGTAGATCGGCGACCTGGACGCCGTGGATGGTTGCCAGGTGGCTGAGCCAGATCTGGCATCCGCCCTTTGAGTTAAGGAACAACGCCCCGATGTACGAGTGCTCGGGGACGTTATGACTCCGCAGTTCCGTCGTAAAACCCTGCCACCAGGGGACCGGGTCTTCATGCGTATAATCATCAAACTTTTCGATCCGGAATGTCGGCATCTTGTACTGCTGCGCACTGGTGTTGCCATCCTTGTCAGGCAGCTGGTGCAGTTGCCAAACCTCAGTCTTCAAGGTGTCCAGCTGCTCGTTGATGGTGGCTGGTGTGGCGAAGGTGCTGATGTCGTCGAGCATTGCGACTACATAGTCAACTCGTTCCTCCAATTGGCGGGTTGAGCTGCACTGCTGGGTTCGCCAGCATCTGGTCCTGGTGCTGCTAGCTCCAAGTGTTGTACACGGGAATTGAGTGCCCGTGTGGTATCCTCGTGCAGATCCTTGTGGTTCCGCACTGTCCGTCGGAGACTCGCCAGCTTGGACTACATGTGGTTACAAGTGTAAACCAACCGTGTCACGAGTTTGGAGAGAAACTCCTTGTGCTGCTCTTCCGGTGTCGCATACTCGTGAAACACAGTCATAAGTATGGCGCAGATTCCCATAACCGACCAGATAATACAGAGTTCATATAAATGCAAGCGGAAGACTTGAGATACCTTGGACTGACTCAGACCTGACTCGGACTGCAATTGAACACTCTCAAACATTCATCAGGGTGTGAATGCCCTGGCCTCGAGTTATAGACGAAGGGCCAGGGGATGAGATCATACATGGACGAAGGGAGAGAGGAGAGAGACGAAGGAGGAGGAGAGGGAAGATGACGTCAACTCAATGTTCCAAAGATAGTATCTTGAACTGTCAGAAGCGACGAAAATCCGAAATGTCGCGAATGACAAGTCTCACAATATCCCAGATGTCGATCTCACAATGTCAAGTACATCTCCGGAAGGAAGATGAAATCAGATTCCCATATAGTCCTCAACTCGTAGTCCCAATGTCGCTGTCTTAGATGTCATCAGAACTCGTAACCATCTCCCATACGGTAGTAGATCTGTAGGAGAAGTAGAAGTAGACTTAGAAGGTAGGAGGAGAGAGAGAGAGAGAAGTGGTAGAGGAGAGGAGGGAGAGAAGGTGAAGCCTTCCTTCCTGGTACGTGGCTATGGCGTTGCAAAGAGGGGCTGGGCTGGTAACTGGCGAGGTGCCCAGTGCTGCGCTAATCCGCTCTCCGATGAACCTTGCTCCCTCGCTGCTGCAGCGCTGCGCTAATCGAGCTAACGCTGGCTGCTCCGTTAATCCTGAAGACTAACCCCGTCCATACTAACTCTACTGACTGAGGCTGGTACCCAGCCTTTGTAGTGCTGGGCCGGCCTCTTGCCTACTGGTACCTACCGGCCCGGACCGTTGATCGGATCAACGGTCCAGATTCAAACTGGTCTTGGCGCCTAAACTTTGGGCAGCCTCTGAAACGCCGCCGGTAGGTTCTAATCTGAACCGGTATTGGCCTCTGGCCGTTTGGGCCTAAACGTGCCCTGTCTCTGGCCTGTCTGGGCCTGGTCTGAACCGTCTTCCCCACTGCCTACCCTGCCTACTGGGAACCGGGCCCTAATTGGGGCCCGTGTGGCTCAGTATGCCACACACGCCCCCCCTTAAAAGACTGAGCTAACTGCGAGGGCGAAGCTGTCTATCCGATGTCCGTACAGGGCGACCAGGTTGTGCAACTTCCTTAGCAAGTCGTTGTTTTTCGTAATGCGCGAAGATGAGGGGTGTTGTCGCCTTCAGATCAGCTCTTCAAATCCAGCGTGTGTCGTTCGGATCGCATTGCCTGAATGTAACTTTGTTCCTCATCGGCTTGTTGCCATGCTTGCGATGCGTGAGAACGCGGTCGACCTCTTGATGACCGTCCGTTGAAGGAGGGTCTTGTGACCGTCTGCCCGGGAAATCCGTTGCGGAGGCTGGAGTGTAAACTGCCAGCTTTGACGCGTGAAAGATCGGGTGGACCGTCAAATGTGGGGGAATCTCAATGATGAAAGATGGACCCGCGGGGTTGTCGCCAGCTGCTGAAGTGACCATCCATGGTCCAAACCACTTAGGGAGGTAGCTTGTGCGAGACGTCTTTCTCGAGCGCGAATTCCTCAGAGGTGACCCAAACTAGGTCGCCAGCGCGAATTGGACATGGGATGTGACGCCGGTTTGCTTGCTGCTGCATACGGACCTGAGCCTTTTGCATGTTTGCGCGGGCTTTGGCCAGCAGTTCCCTGTACTTCCGTGTAGAAACGGGGGAGCAAGCGGCGTCTATATCGGCAGCCTGTGGAAGCAAAATGTCTGCGAAGATACGTCCTTTCCGTCCAACATGGTGTAACTCGAATGGAGTCACGCCAATCGCCGGGTGCACCGAAGTGTTATAGGCGAACTCGATGTCGGGAAGGCGATCAACCCAGTCCTTCTGATCCGGGTGGATGAGTGTGCGGAGCATCATCTGCGCAGTCTGGTGCGCACGTTCCGTTTGCCCATCCGTTTGAGGATGCCGTGAGGAACTCGGATTCATGCTGGTGCCGGATTCCACCATAAGTGTCGTCCAAAAGGCCGACATGAAACGAGTGTCGCGGTCGCTGACGATGTCTTCCGGAATGCCGTGGCTGCAAAACCAGTCGGTATGCAAAAGTCGTGCGAGCTCGGGAGCCGTCGCATGATACTTGCATGGAAGAAATCGAGCGTACTTGCTCAAACGGTCAACGACCGTGAGAATACCATCATGACCAAGGCGATTGCGAGGGAAAGGACTGGTCACATCCATAGCAATGGAGAGACCCGGTGCCCGAGGAATCGACAATGGTTTCAGTTCGTCGTAAGGGAGCTGATGGCACCCTTTGTTCCGGTGGCAAACTGCACATGACTGAATATACCGATTGACGTTGCTGATGATGTTCGACCAGTGAAATCGCTGGCGGAGTCGTACCAGTGTGCATGCGACGCCAAGGTGTCCCGCCAGCCGTGAATCATTGTATTCGCCAAGGAGGCGAGTGCGCAAGATGCGGTCTTGGGGAACACACAACGAGTCCTTGCCTCGTGTATGAAGACGCAAGTAGCCGTCGTCAATGCGATAGTTGCTTGCCGACGGTTGATCCGATGATAAGTCCGCATAGAGAGTGGAGAATCCCGGATCCGACTTGTAACCGTTTACAAAGTGTTGTTGCAGGTTCTCGTCGAGGCCGAATGTGGAGTCCACCAAGGCGCAAAGATCAGGTCTTCGCGAGAGAGCATCTGCCGCCTTGTTCGAGGAACCCGGAATGTGCTTGGAGGTGAAGGCGAACTGGTCGATGAAGTACATCCATCGACCGATCGTGCTGCGCACGGTGTCTTGCATCTTGTAATATTTCAACGGATTGTTGTCCGTTGCCCACGTGAATCGCTGACGCCCAAGGAGAAAGTGACGCCAACGCTCAAGTACTGTGACAAAAGCTAGGAGTTCCTTCTTCCTCGCATCATCAAGAGTGTTGATGGGCGGCACCTTTTGGCTGAAGTACTCAACCGGATGCCAGTCTGTGCCGTCATGTTGTTCCAAAACCGCGCCAATGCCATAAACGGAAGCTTCCGTAGTCACTTTGGTGGGCAAAGTCGGGTCATAGATGCTTAAGACGGGAGCTTGAAGCAAAGCCGTCTTCAACGTGTGAAACGCATGCCGGGCCTCGTCGCTGAACTCGAAGGGCACCAAGGGGGACTGAAGTCGCGACAATGGTGCAGCGATATGTTGGAATCCTTTGACGAAGCGCATGTAGTACGATGCCAAGCCGAGAAAGGAGCGGACGTCGGTAGTACACTTGAGGTCCGGCCAATCTTGAATAGCTTGTACCTTGTCCGCGAGCGGACGAATGCCTTGCGGCGTAATGTAACGGCCTAAGTACTCCAGCTCTTGCTGGGCCTACTCACACTTGTCGCGGTTCGTCTTGTACTTGGCGATTCGAAGCCGCTCCAAAACGGCGCGAAGGTGCTCGAGGTGCTCGTTCAGTGTCCGGTTATAAGCCAAGATGTCATCGAGGTAAATGAGCACGGTGCGGTCGAGTAAGTCGTGGAATTCCGTCGTCATAGCCGCTTGGAAAGTAGTCGGGGCATTGGTGACACCGAAAGGCATGACGATCCACTCAAAATGCCCATACCGCGTCTTGAAAGCGGTTTTGTACCGATCTCTTGGCTGGATCTCAATCTGGTGATATCCGGACTTGAGGTCAAGCTTCGAGAAGTACTTGGTGCCGCCTAGTCGCTCGAGAAGATCATCGATCTGAGGGAGAGGGCCGACGTTCTTGATCGTTTGCACGTAAAGTTTCAGATAGTCGATGCACAAACGAAGGTCCTTGTTCTTCTTCCGGACGAAGAGAACGGGAGTACCGTATGGCGAACACCTAGGGCGAATCCAGCCCTTGGCCAAGAGGTCGTCTAGTTGTGCCCGAAGCACTTGAAGTTCCTCTTCGCTCATGCGGTATACACATCCGCGCGGAGGTACGGCGCCGTCCTCGAAGGTGATCCCGTGGCGTATGGGCCGATCCGATATGACTCCGGCGGGAGCTTGAAAGACATCCTCGTAGCTGTCCAACAGCTCAATGATGCGTGGGTCCGACGTATCCGTCTTGAGCTGATCACCGGGTGGGAGGGCGTGAAGAAAACATATGCCCATCTCCTCGATGTCGTTCCGCCGGATGGATTGGCGAATGCTCGCCGCGGATACCACGTGATAACCAATCGAAGGATGAGGAAGCGGCACCGTACACGGGACTAGTTTGCCACGCCGATCACGAACGTGAACGGTGCGTCGATGGAAGTTCACCGGATGGTCTTCGCTTTGCAGCCACGACATGCCTAGGATCATATCGAACTTGGTGTCCAATATGTCGAAAGACACGACCTTGCATGCTAGCGGGGCAAAGTACACGGGCACCGAGTCAACGCATCGGTCGATTGACTTTTGCGCGTGACCATCGGCCAACGTGACGTGCGTAGGCTGACTTTTCCTTCGAACGCGCGGGCCCAGCCCCGCACGTGCCATGAAGTCTTGGATGATGTAGTTGCTAGTCGCTCCATAATCGATCAAGGCACTGCAGGTCGCCTTTCCGATCTGAATGCGGATGTAGAGGAGCGGCGCGTCGTTGTCGACGTACCGTTGCGTTTCGTACTCACGGTCGATCTTCGCAAGATAGTTACGAAGATCAACAACCGCTACTCCGCCGTCCGTCGACGGAGGTGGTACTGCAACATGCAAGTATTCGCATAGATGTGCCATTAAGGCATTGCAATGCGGAGTTGGCAAAGAACGGGTGGAGGGAAGAGGCAACCATTGGAAGTCCTCAACCGTCAACGGGTCGAATTCCTCAAGTCTCGCCCAAGTTGACGGATCCTCCGATAGAAGGGCTGGCGAAGCAACCGGTTCGTTGTCCGACGGCGGAACTGCCGCGCATACGCTTGAATCTTGCACGTGGAGAGGCTGGTTCAACGGTGGGACCAGCTCGACAGCATAGTTCTCAAACTCAACGCGAGAACTTGCGACTACCGCGGTGTCCCCGGATGTGAGAGAGGCTGCTAGCAAGGCAGCCGACTCCGGCGGACTGGGAAGTGTTGTCGCGGCACTTCCCGCGGTGCTCAGTTTCCCGAGCCCGGACCTTTGACATTGACATTCTCCTTGTCCTTGTCGAGGCAGGCGCTGGTGATGTGTTTGGTGCAACATTCTCCTTGTCCTTGTCGAGGCAGGCGCTAGTGATGTGTTTGGTGCTGTTGCACCACAAACAACATCCCCATTTCTGCCGTAATTTGAACATTTCCTCGGTGATGCCGAACTTCGTCCATGGTGCTTGTCGTGCTCCATCCGCCGACGCTTCTTTTGCCTTCTTTCCCCCTCAGGGTTTCGTGCGTCGCGGTGGTATCGCTGCCGCCACATCTCCATCACTTGATGTTGAAGCGGCTGCGTGGTCCTCACTCGGTCCTTGTTGGACGGCGGCAACATGCGGCGTCCGTTGATCTTTTCCTTTCTCCACGTAACCGGGCTGCGGACGAGCCTCGTTAGCCTCACGCCGGTTACCTTGTATAAGTTCTCTAGCTTTGGCGATCATGTTGTCAAAGTTCTTATACTCGAATTCGCTGCCAAGAGCAGCTGTCAAGGCCTCGCAAGATCGGGCGAAGAACTCGCCTCGGATTGAGTCGAACGGCAGGTTCAACTCCGGGGTGGCGACGAGTCTTTGCCACTCCGTCAGCCATTCTCGCAAAGGTTGCTGGCCTTGGAAGATGCGGAAGATCTTGTTCAAGGCGTGACGCTTGTCGTTGTTCACCATGAACCGGGTCTTCCACTTCTTCTCAAACTCCTCCCACGTGATCTTCGTGTGGAGGGTGGCGATGGTACATTCGAGCGTGACGGCCATGTGCGTCATGAATGCTTGCGCCCCACCTATAAGTTGGAGGTACAATGCGTCCATCCGCCGTAGGGGCGGAGTATGATGTACGTTAGCCGCCGCGTTGAACGCCATCCACCATTGCAGCGGATCAGTCTTATGGTAATCGTCGAACTTCTCGATCTTGAAGTTCGACATCTTCCATTCCTTGGCGGCCGCTCGTTGCTGGACTTGATCGTTGAGCGTCTTCAATTGACTGTTGACTGTCGAGGTTCCGGCAAACTTGCTGATGTCGCCAAGGGATGCGACGATGTGATTGATCCGCTCATCGAGCTGTTTGGCTTGAGTGGCCAAAGCTGGGCTGCTGTCTGAAACTGCACCGCCCGTTGACTTGACTGTGGACAGTCGTGCCATCCCGGCATCGACGCAGTCCTGCAATCGGTCGTTGATGGCCTGCTGTTGGCTGTCGGCAGCCTGCAGCATGCCGGTGTCGGCCTGCAGGCAGTGATGTTCTGATCCATTGCCTTGAAGTTGCCTTCATGGCGGATGAGGACCTGCCGCATAGCCAACAGTTCACGTTGTTGCCCATTGTACGTGTACCGCAGGTTCTCAATCAAGACTGCTGTAGTTTCCCTATTTCTCTTGTCCTCGGTTGGTTCTTCTTGCTCCTCAGTTGCTCGGAAGTGCTGCTGTCGAAGTACTCTGCCGTATGCGGCTTCTTCGTTGAGAAGGTTCATGGCAGCCTGGTACCGAGCATGAGTCTGACTTGCCTCGAGCTGCTGCAGCTGCATCCGTGCGGCTGCTGCAGAGTCGGCAGCGGCCTGCTGACGTGCTGCCTGTTCCACTTCTTGTTGGAGTCGGATGGCTTCCCGTCGGGCGGCATTCTCCTTCTCCCATGTGCGGAGTTCGGTGGCATTGCTCTCCGTATACTGTTGGAGACGCTCGAGAAACGCGAGTGCGTCTTCATCTGCCCGTTGAACTGGCACAGGAGGGGGAACCGGCCTCTTGGGACTGCCTGGCATGTTGCTGTCGGCTGCTGCAGCCATGGCTGTGCGTCGCTTGCGCGGGATCTGCGGTGCCTTGGGTCCCTGTTTGGGCTTGGCTGCCTTGGATCCGCGCTCTGCCAATCGTTGGCTGCGGTGTATTTAGTGTCCGGCTGCAACGCATGTCAAGTGCGCAACATGTTTTTCGCATCGTTGATCATAGAGACTATCACGGTAGAATCAGTGACTGAGGTGAAGTCGTAACAAGGTAGCCGTAGGGGAACCTGCGGCTGGATTGACTCCTTTCCAATATACATACCCAGATTTGATTTAATGTCGATGTAATCAGACTAGTTACCAAAGGCGCGAAGCACAATTCCTGACATGGCACTCTACTGACGTGGCACTGTGCTGACGTGGCACTCTGCTGACGTGGCACTTTGCTGACATGTCACTCTGCTGATGTGTCACTGTGCTGACGTGGCACTCTGCTGACGTG